CTGGCAAATGCCCTTGATTAAATTCCCAACACACCCTGCATGTGTGGTCCTGTCAAAAGGGCCGCTTGGCCGAACTGGACAACTCAGATTTCCCTTTTATGCTGGGACCCACCACCACCAGCCAAGTGCCGCCATGCATTCTCGTTCTGTGATGCCGGCAGACGGAAGGCCTCTTGTACACCAATGTGGGCAACCTTGCCTTAAGCACATTGCCCAAGTGATGAGGTTAGTGCCACCCTCTATCTGGATGGCTCCCATCCAACACCCCCATGTATACTTGATACCCCACCAGCCGATTGTTAAGGAAACATAATTGCTGATCTATCGGATGTGCACATTTGCCCCCCCCCCAAGTGAATTAATCGCAGGCATGGCTTCCCAAGGATCCCATCCTTGGGTGGCTCTGCATCCATTCACTACCGCCACTCCTGTCTCCTGGACTTACAGGCTGTGCAGCCTGCAGTGCAGGCTGCTGGGGCTTCCGCCCCTCGATTCTGCCCTGGAGGTCCATAGCCTACCTGACTGTGGCTCTCCCATCGTCCCTGGCCTCCTCCGATGGCCTGTATGCTACTGTTGACCCCTTTCTAAGGCCGTGTGGTCATCCCCAGGCACTTCTGCCAGGATCCTGCTGCTGCTGGGCCGGGAGCAGGAACCTCCTCAGGGATCCTGCTGTTGCCGGACAGGGAGCTGAGTGAAGCGGCCTCACGGAGCTCCTGATGTACGCTTGCCACTGCCAGTGATCTGGGCTTTGTGACCCAACCAGACCTAGCTGCACTTTGCTTCCTGCTGCCAATGGACCTGGCTGCAAACTGATGCAGAATCTGGAAAAGCAAGTCCAGAGACCCCAGCAGCTGGCCTTGACAAGTACTAACCACAACCAATCATGTGCACCTTGATCCTGCCTCGTCAAGATGGGAAGCGACAGAATGAGTGGCTGCCGATGCATGGAGCAACAGCGAAGATAGCCCAAACAATCCCACACAGCCAGGTGGGGAGGCTGGGTGGTTGAGCATGCTTTATCCCCTGTGGTGTCTATCCCCTTCCCCCGGGCCCAGTTCAGGCCCCATCATAGGCCCACCAGGGAAGGGGAGGGCCAGGTTTTTCTGCCACTGCCACCTGGCCTCCAAACTGCCCGTGCATATTGCCCTGCCTTGAAGAGCGTGGCCACCATAGCCACTTGTTGCCCCGCTGGCTTTTCCCATTGCATAGGACTGCAAACTGGGCCCACAGTGAATTGAGGCCCCCCTATCGCATGTACTGTATTCAGCCAGCTTCAATTGGTTTTTACCTCCCCTCCTTCAGAGGCATAGTCTTGGTACAATTATCCAAACTACAGCAACTTGAAGAATGTCTTCTATAGTAGGATTATGTCCAGGGGAAGATTTCCTGTACAAACCCTATAGAAGAATTTGTGATGTATGCATATTCCCAGTATATTGTAGCAAGGTTTCCATAAGAAAATGTTGGAGTGTGTCATACCATTATCCATTCATATCAGCGTAACTCAATAATAGGTTGGGAGCAATTGCTTTTTCTTGATTATTTGGACATCAGTTGACAAAAATAATACATGATTTTCAAAATGTACACGTGGTGCTTGCTAACTGTCATTTCAGATTTCACTTATGAAAATGCAATAACCTTTTTCCAACCAGCTCAAAAGTTCCATGTGTGTGTGTGTGTGTGTGTGTGATTATTCATAGGTGAAATTTAGTACACGTATATATAATCAAAAGGCACTGGAGAAACACTTAAAGCAGATTTTTGATGTAGTTCCAAATATAAAAGCCATTGTTTAAATTTATCAAGCTTCATCTGGAATTCTGCATATGCTTTTTTTCCATATGTTGTCCGATAGATTTAAGAACAAGATAATGTATCTGATTGCAAAAGCAACAGGAAGAGATGAAGTCAAAGCATTACCAGCAATTTAATTAACTTGCTTTCATGTCATCATTCATAGAGCTGATTCACAGATCACTTTACACAAGTGTTGCTTCATGGACTTCAGAGACATTAAGGCGGAATAAGTGAATCATTCTCACACTAACGTTTGGCACTTGGATTCATTTTACAGGAAAATCTTCTAAATTTCTCAGAAACTACTGATAGAAGCCTTTTGTCTTTTTGAAATTATCGTTAACAAGCACTGAGCAAAACCTGGCTGCATTAGGTTGAAAGATACCTTTCTCTGTCAAAATGGTGCCAAGCTGTATACTTAATGGTGGAGTTCGCACTAGAGCTGCCTCAATGTTGCGCCGCTGTTTGCCCCGATACTATTGGTCAATTTCACACCCAAAACCTCGGGGCTGCATTTTGACTCGAGGCTTCGCTTGATTTCCCCCGCAGTTTCGTGATCCTGTTTTTTGAGGATCACGAAACTGCAGGGGAAATCGGGCGAAGCCGCGGGTCAAATGCAGCCCCGCGGCTTCGGGTGTGAAATTGACCAATAGTATCGGGGCAAACGGCGGCGCAACATCGAGGCAGCTCTAGTGCGAAATCAGCCAATTTGTTCATATAGGTGAGAGATCAGCAAGGACTTGCAGGGGACATCTCATTTCCCCCTCCTCCATTATTTCCTCTTTCCTTTCCCTGAAAGCCCCTGGAGCTTCTCCCCTTTTCCTGTTTTCTTCCCTGTTTCCCACACACCAACCAACTTTTTTCTGCCCCCCATTTTCAGATTTCCCACTTTCTGTCTTCTTGGCAGCCTGCCTGGAAAAACTATCAACCAGTTGTGCAGTGGGGAACTTACAAGAACTTGTGGGGAGCACCTTATTTCCCCCCATGTCCTCTTCCCCACATTGTTTCCTCATTCCCTTCTCCTGGCAACCCCCATACCCTCACCTTTCCCTGCTTCCTTTTATCCTTTGCACCTACTAACCAACCTACCTTTTATTTGCTCCCCATCTCCAACTATATTTATTATTACATTTATACCATGCACTTCTCCACAATGGATACCCAAAGAAGCATACATTATTCTCTTCTCCATTTTATCTTCACAACAGCCCTGTGAGGCAAGTTAGGCTGAGAATGTATAACTTGTCCAAGTTCACCCAGTGAGCTTCTAAGGCAGAATGTGGATTCAAACCTGGGTCTCCCAGATCCTATTCTGAAACTCTAACCACTGTACCACATTGGTTTTCATGGGGTGGATGCTGTTGGACAGTAGCAAGCAGCCAGGCCTGGGTGAGTCATGCAAGTTTTATGGTAGCAAGTCACCCACTGGTTGCTGGTGCCCTGGTGAGACGTCCATCAAAGACGAAAACAGCCCTGGAAAGGGCCCTGCTGGCTCTTCGGGCCTTTTTACTGACAAAAACCAAGGCTTGAAGGCTGTCAGTACTATATGGTTGCCTAGCAGTGACTACTGAAGGCATTTGTTTCTTAAAGCTACAGGTACTGCTTCTATTATATGGGGGGGGGGGTAACCCACATTTTTTGGTTGTTGTTGTTAATGGTAAGATTTCAGATTTTTCTGCAAACCCAGAGCACTTTTCAGGTTTGTAGAAAAGATCTGTCTTGTCTGTTCACAGTTCCAATTTCTAGATTTTAGTATTCACAGACATGGCCATGTTGAGAATTAGATATATTGATAGTTTGATCTTAGCAAAGTACTGCTGGTATGACTGAGAAGCAGTCTAACATTTCCAGACAAATAAAGATTTCATCAAATCTCATTTCATTTCTGCTTCCACACACACACAAAAATCAAACTTAAATTGTGATGCAGAATTGAAATCCCAGTAAAATTCAGTGGCACAGCAATTTAATTAATTGAGTTTATCAGATTTCTCAATAAGTTAGGAGCTGCTCCTATGACTACAGGTGGGAAAATTTGAGCTTGTAATCACTGGGACTGAAATGTCAGCATTGTTGTTTATTTTCAAAAAGTACATATAATAATGTGGTGATGGTATTTTACAATGTCCTTTTTCTTCTTCCCCTGAATAGCAGTATCTAAATTGTTCTTCATTAAATATTTTTACTGTTTTCAGCATCACGGGATAGCTTTATATCCCTTTCCGTAAAATACTGTGTGTATTTAACCTCTAGAGCCTTCGTCTGCATTACAATAGATATTGGTACAAATTGAGTGTGTTCCTTCTTCCACCACATAAAGTTCTAGGCAATGGCACTACCTTTTTTACCACTTATGCACCACAGAAACATGTCAGGGAGATTGGACCAAACTCAGCTCACCGTGGTTTGTTTCTGAGGAATGTACATGGTGAAAAAGGCATACACTATGAGGTAGAAGACATGCATCAGTATATCTGAACCAGTCATTAGTTATTGCGCTGGGAACCTAAATGGCTGTCACTGTCAGTAGGATAGTTTAAGGAGACACATTCTAAATTATTTTGAATTTGGTCAGTAATGGAGAACTGCATGAACCATCAAAAGAAAGTTCCAGGGATAGGCAGACACAATTTATAGATTTCAACAGTGGTCTCAGCTCCACTGAAACACTCTGGAATAAATTGTTTTAAAATGGAACAAGGTAATTGAAATAGTTTTAAATCATATTCTCACTTGCTAAATTCCACCTAGTCTGAAATCCTGATTTAAGACTGTATAATCTGCATACTACTTTGTTATCCTGCCATCTATCCAAGGAGCTCAGGAAAAACACGGTTGTCCCCACCCCATTTTATTCTCGCAATGACTTTGTGAGGTGAGTTTAGGCAAAAAGCTGCCCAAGGAGGGGCTGTGTCGGGGGGGGGGGTAGAAGCCCTGGTTTCCCCAGTCCTACTCTGACACCGTAACCTCACTATATCACACCCGCTGTCAATAGTAACTGTCATTATGGTTCTTTTTTTTTAAGCAAGTTTGTCTGATCAGCAAGGAAAGGTCTACATGTGGAAGCAAACATATATCTGGAGATAAATCCCCTGAACATCACTGTGCACAGCCGAGCGTCATCGTCACCCAGTAATTTTAATTCCAAAAATAATCTTAATAAGATTGTCAATGTATTTATTCCAGTTTATTTCTTTCAGTGTCAGATCAGCAAAGAAGAGAGAAGCTCAAGAAGGAAATAGAAAAGTGTGAGAAGGAAATGAGCACCTCCAAAAATGTGTCCCGATCCAGTTCTAGGGAGAGTAGACGACCACTGTCAGCCGCATACAAAAAGGTAGGTGTAACAGGAATTTGAAAATTTCACTGTGCCTGCTTGTTTCCAGGTTGTTACCAAAAAGGAGATTATGATGGATCCTGTTGTGGTGCCAGGGTAACCATTGGTGGAGGTGGAATTTTCCAAAGTCCTTCTTGACCAAACAGCTGAAAGGCTGGGAAGTGGGAACCAGCGTAACACCGATGGCTGTGCTGAGGAGGAGAAAGTGAGCAAAATGTCTACTTTGACTCTTCTGTCAATGGAAGTAGCATTGGCAGAATGGGCAAAAATTACAGTTTTCTCCACTTTGCCCCGTTCAGTGCAGAGATTTCCGTTTTATGGATTCTCATCCATGTAGGTCTCCAAACCTCTAGTGTTACCTTTTAGGGATTTGCATATGGCTTCTGGGATAAGTGGGAGGAAGTAACATTTTACTTCAAGAACCTTGCACTGGTGGTAGATAGTATCTATCCCTATCTGAACGATCTATAATCTCTCAGAAAACTTTCCTTATGAATATATGCATTTTTGTTTCAAAACTGCCATTTGTGAGGAAAGCCAAATCTTAACATTTATGGTATTACATCTTGTCATTTTTCATGAATGCTGAAGGATTAAGCAGTTTTCATTTCCTTGTATCATACAGTACATTCACTAACAGAAATATTCCGTTAGCGAGTGCCCAATTAGTGCCATTTGATGTTGTCAGAAAAATAATCTCATTTTCCAAATAGCTTTCCCCTTCCCCTGTTTCTCCTTAGACTTGTTGTACACTTGGCCTGTCTGAGCACTGACTGACTATGTGAGGAGAAAGGGTTGGGTATTAACATGGTAGCCCCACCCCTCCCTCCACACAATAATCAAGTTGTCTGCCCAGGAGGGAGTGCACAAACAGACCTTCCTCTGTATGTCTGCTCCATGTAGACAACTCTTTAATCACGTGGAGGCAGGGGCAGGCCAGCCCTCTCATGCCTGCTTTCACGCCCCACATGGTCATTCAGTGTGTAGACAGCTTGTCTGTACAAGGCTCTTGTCTCTGCCCTGTGTAGTTCAGTCTATACAGCAGAATCCCAATCCAACAATACATGTTTACAGCTCAGAAATGGGAGTGTGCCCTGGTCACAATAGTCAGCTGCACGATCAATAATCGATTTTGATGTAGAGCAGGCTGCATTCAGTGGCATCCTCTGCTATCATGGTTTCCAATAAACGGTACCCTGGACCCTGTGCATGTAGTGGCACTGATTCTGAAGGAAACATGCATATAGGTATCCCCTTTGCGCAAGTGATTCCTCAAGTAATTAGGGATGCATGTGCAGAACCCAGTTCTGTACAAGTAAGACCTTAGCTGGGTAAAGGTACATGAATGTACATGGCAGATGAAAAAATAAAAAAGGAAAGAGCATGAAGTGGAAGAAGTTGAAAGGAGAAGATGCAAACAATCTATGTTGGTAAAGAAACCAATAAAGAGCCAGTTTGGGGTAGTGGTTAAGAGCAGCGGACTCTAAACTGGAGAACTGGGCTTGATTTCCCACTCCTCCACATGCAGCTGCTGGGTGACCTTAGGTCAGTTACAGTTTTTTCAGAGTTGTTCTCTCAAGAGTAGTTCTCTTAGAGTGCTTTCAACCCCACCTGCCTCACAGGGTGTCTGTTACCTGGAGAGGAAGAGAAAGGAAATTGTAGGCCGCTCTGAGACTCTGAGTGAAGTGCGGGGTATAAATCCAATCTCCTCCTCCTCTTCTTCTCCTCCTCCTCCTTTTCCTCCTCCTTCTAAATAATAACTAGAGCACAATCCAGGCAGTGTTAAGCACATTAATAAAAGGAAAAGATTTACAGTACAATCCTAAACAGAGTTACACCTTCCTAAAACCATTGAGTTCAGTGGACTAAGATGGGTATAACTCTACTTAGAATTGCACTGTTAAATTAATGTTTGACTCCTGCATTCTGACCAAGTTAAAATTAGTTAGCTTTGGCTGGATAGTGTCCTTCATGAAGAAGACAATATTAATGAAAAACATGTTATTGTGCTCATTGATGAGCCTTGTATGAACTTTAATTTGTGTACAATTTAGAATACCATAGCAAACCTCATTGGCTGGCACGGTTAGGATTATGATAGGTAGCAGAAAAAGCCTTCCTTAGTTGAACATCAGGAAGAATAATATTCTTTTCATAGCAATGAGAGAGAATTGACAGGATTCATTTTGGGTTAAAAATACACACAGGGGTATATTTTGTATCCAGCTGCTGTATTATAGTGGTCATTAGCTGGTAGATTCTTGCATGACTACTTTGTAGCTGACAGGGTGAGTGATGACATTATTAGATTGCTGCATAATAACCGTGCTTTGAATCGTTGTGCGATTGGTGGTGGTTCTGGATATATGATATGCGGGATTATTTTTTGTTTTGCTTTGAAGAAAAAGGGAGGGGATTGTCAAATTAAAGGTATATTCTACACACTGTAATTTTCTTTCACCAAGGTTGTTGTCACATCTTTTTTAGGCCTTAGATGACATTTCTCCACGACTCTCACTAACAGGCTATCAGGAGGACTATGTTAATTAATGAGATTTGTGATATACTGGGTTATAATGAGAACTTTGTGAGGACTAGAAAATTAATAACCTTCCCCCCCCCCCAACTGAGGTAGAGTAAAACAGTAAATGGCATTTCCAAGCGTCTTGAGGCAAAACTATGTGTTTATACTGAACAGTTGACCTTTCACCAAAGACTCCATCCTGGTGTGGAGTTCTCCGCCACTGTCCCCCATTATGTGCTTACCAGGGTCTCAACAGCACCATGCTGTACATTTCTTCATCACCTATGGCATAGTGAAGGCGCTCATGTGGCAGTTCACTGATGGCCACTGCCAGCTTCCACTGCTGTGCCGCAGGAATATGGGTGGGGGGATCTGGTGCTTTGGCTGGAGTGCATTAGGAGGTGACAGCCAAGGCACAGGGACTGCTGCTGGCATGGTGCAGGTGCCCTGGCTTGGGCCAGTCATTCTTCTGAAGCCCTGCCAGACGTTGCTCTCCACACTCAGCAGCTGTGTACCCACATGGCGCTCAAGTAGACACCCTGATGCCTCCTGTGTGGATTCCACAGCAAAGAGAGTGACTTGAGCTGCTGCAGCTGTACCTGTTCCTAGTGTGAGGCCAGCAGAATAAGAGCTGCTTCCCAGTCATGCAACCCAGCAACTAATGCATTGTGTGGAGCTTCTTGTTCATTGTAAGGAGCTTCTGTTTCTCTGTTTTATTGCCAAGTCCCATTCATTCCACTGGTGTTTTAGTTTCAAATAAGTATGCTTAGGATCACGGTCATTGGACAACTGCTGTGGAGTATTGGCTACAATGTTGGACCTCAGTTCCAGTGGTCACTCAGCCATAAAGGACACAGGACAATTTCAAACCGGTCGCTCTCTTTCTCAGCCTGCCCTACATTGCAGCACTGATGTAAGGATCAAATGGAGGATGGAAGAATTATCTGCGCTGCCCTAAGCTCATTAAGATAAAAGCACAATTGCTCATAGGCATGTTTTTTGGAAGGCTGCGTTCTCATTGTTTGTTCTTCATTTTCTTCTCTGCTAAGCTATAAAGATCTTGCTCATGTGGCTTTCATCTGTCTTAAACCTATTAATTACTGCCTAGATGGGAACATTTGACTCCTAAAGTTTCATGGCGATTGTAGAGAGCTGGCACAAAACAAAAAACTAGAGTATTAGTTTTCCTAGGATGTGATTAGGCCACATGTCTCTGAAACTGTTTTAGTCAGTAAGTCTCCCAGTGTTGAGAAAGCAGCTCCTCAGGCCTACTCACACATGAAGCTGCCGTATACTGAATCAGACCCTTGGTCCATCGAAGTCAGTATTGTCTACTCAGACTGGCGGCAGCTCTCCAGGGTCTCAGGCTGAGGTCGTTCACATCCTGGAGAGGAGACAACTGAGAGATGATTTGATGACCATCTTCAAGTACTTAAAGGGCTGTCAACTAGAGGATGGTGTGGAGTTGTTTTCTGTTGCCCCAGAAGGTCAGACCAGAACCAATGGGTTGAAATTAAATAAAGAGAGTTTTTGGCTAAACATTAGGAAGAACTTCCTGACAGTTAGAGTGGTTCCTCAGTGGACCAGGCTTCCTTGGGAAGTGGTGGGCTCTCCTTCTCTGGAGGTTTTCAAACAGAGGCTAGAGGGCCATCTGACAGCAATGCTGATTCTGTGAACTTAGGCAGATCATGAGAGGGAGGGCAGGAAGGGTTGCATCTGTGCTTAGTTCTTGTGGCCCTTTTTTAAATGCCCAGGGAAATGCTGATTGCCACGTTGGAGTCAGGAAGCAATCCTGGAGGTTTTTTGTCATCTTCTGGGCATGGAACAGTGGTCACTGCGGGTGTGGAGGGGGAGGTATTTATGAATTTCCTGCATTGTGCAGGGGGTTGGACTAGATGACCCTGGAGGTCCCTTCCAGCTCTATGATTCTGTGATCACTTACAACCTGATCCTTATTGTAGATGCCAGGGATTGAGCCTGGTACCTTCTGCATGCCAAGCAGGTGCTCTACCACTGAGCCACAGTCCCACCCCATTCTTCACAAAGGGTCTGGCTACTTAAGTTGTTCTGCTGTATGGATGTCTTCCACAATGTCCCCCCCCCTTTACCCATAGCTGCTTCATGAAACTGTAATCTCAAGCTGAAGATGATGGAAAGAGGAAGGGGTAAGGTATCTCTTTCTCTTCAGTCTATTTTTTCCCCATATCAAAATTCCACCTGTCCTTTGCCAGTCTTCGTCTTGCAGGAGGAAAAAGGAACAAATCTGTGTCACGTACAGTTTGACTCACAGAGAGAGCAGCGTGGCTTGCCTCCAAGCACTCAGTCTTGGGCTTGGCCTGGGGGTAGGGATGAGTGCAGTGCTATGAGGCCTTGAAGGAAGAGTCCAAAGCTCAGTAGTGCATGTGTTTTCATTCAAAGGATGCCAGAGCAGTGCAGGTAGGAAAGATGCTCACCCGAGATCTTGAAGAGCTGCTCC